TGTTATTGAAGCGTGCCATATGGTGTTAACATTAATCCAAGACACTTCCAACTCCTGTAGGTTCGGAAATGCAACCTGCACAACATACAATTCTTCTTCTGATTAAATTTCATGATTTTGGTTATAGATATAAAAATAGGATGATACCGTGTTAGAAGCCATGGAGTTTAGGTACGACTAAAATAAAAGTAATGCAAATTAAAGAGAAGTATTATATTTATCTAGTATTAAATTAATGGAAAAAAGTATTTTATAGATTGTTTTCTTAAATTTTTTTGAGAATATATTTAAAAGCTCATTTTTTATTTATATTTTTAAAAATTAACTGTTAAATTGAAAGTTTTATTTATATAAATCATATATGTAAATTTTCATGTTAATTTAGTAAGCTTAGCCTCTTCATTAACTACAAAAAAATTTATCATTATCAAATATATATCAATAAATAGAATTGCTTTTATAAAAAAGTTCTAAATGTTGGATCAATATAAAAATTAATATGCATAATTTACATAAATAAACTTTTAATCCAATAATTAGTTTTAAAAGATAATAATTAGAAAGTAGATATTTAGACAAATCCTCTAAAAAATATTTTAAAAGAATGACTTAACCTACATTATTCTCTTTTTAATATATACAAAATTAAAAAGTCATTTTTTATTATACTGCTTCAAAAGAAATGTAAATAAGGAGAAATTAATTTTATCCTCTATCTAAAAATGTGAAATGGTTCCCTAAACATCTTGGATTTGGGATTTAGTCCTTGATGGACTTCTTAAACTTGGGGTATAGTTCTTCAAGTTGGTTAGGTGTTCCTGAAGGGAAGATTATATTGGTCACCCCTAAGCCAAAAGGAGTTTGAAAGTAGCGAATACAACTCCTAATCAAAATAAGAAAAAGCGCTTAGAGAAGGCATTGGCATCATGAATTGAAACCTCTGTAAATAGAATAGGTTCCTCTTCTTACTCATTGATTTCCATATTATATTTCCTCACTTGATTTAGAACTTATTTGGTATAATAGTTAAATTTTAACATAT